GCTGTTCCATTACCTTTCCAGGGACTGAGGTGAGGCTGACAGGCCTGTAGTTCCCTCGGTCCTTCTTACCTTTCTTGAAGACAGGGGTGACATCTGCCTTCTTCCAGTCTTCAGGAACCTCTCCTGATTGCCATGACCTCTCAAAGATGATTGAGAGTGGCCTAGCAATGATGTCAGCCAGCTCCCTCAGCGCACATGGGTGCATCCCATCAGGGCCCATAGACTTGTGGGTGTTAAGGCTGCATAGTCAATCTCTAACACAATACTCATCAAACAAGTCTTCCTTTTTCCAGACTCTCTCACTGGTCTCTTGGGATGGGGATTCCTGAGGGGTGGCCTTGGCAGTGAAGACTGAAGCAAAGAAGGCATTCAGTAACTCAGCCTTCTCCGTGTCCTCCATTCTAACTGAAAAGGCCAATTAGTTATGCTGGAGAAATAGGTTTTTTAAATTAAACTTGAATACGGATGTCTTAATTCCAGTTATGAAATACTGGAATAAAAACAATTGTAAAATGAAAACACACTTCAAAAAATTTCATGAAGCTTAGTTTTTGTCTCCTGCAGCTCCGCTGTGGTTTGTTTTTTACTGCACAGACAAAGTAAGCTTATGCAAGGCCTGAGGTTAGCAGATACTGAGCAGTCATAGCCCGCAGAGTGCCAGGAGGCCACAGTACCCACAACTGGATTTAGCACCAAATAGTGTTGGTAACACTGATGACTAATTTTTTCACAGGCAACCTAAGGGCGCGAAGCATTGCCTTATTGTTAATGCTGCACCTTAAATCCTACTTTTTTTCTTACCCCAATAGGAAAACTGCCTGAATGCTGATGTGGTGGAACAGATTTATAAGAGAAACCCTATTCTCCGTTACACTCACCATCCATTGCACTCACCATTGCTGCCACTGCCCTATGGGGACATCAATCTAAACTGTAAGTTTTTCAATCATAGAGACATTTTTCCTTATGAAAGACTGAACTGGAGAATGGGATATTTTAATAGTATTTAGCAGGCAAGATATATTTTTATAATACAAACAGACAAGTTTTCCTGTTCTCTTCTGGAAGGTGGAGAACAGCAGTTTGTCTAGCATAGAGCCATGGGCTTGTAGGAGTTACAGAAGGGAAGGCTGCCGTTGCTGCTGTAATACAAGATTGTTACCCTCGGCAACACAGCTAAGACCACCGAGTTTGAAAAGCCTTGTACTGAAATAAGCAACTGAACTCAATTCATTCAGCCTTCTTGAATTGTGTTCTTCTCAAATCATTGTTGCTTCCTGACCCATATGGGGAGCTACAGCAGCCACAACTTCCACTTAACAAGTGGAAGTTTCATCAGTTGTGGTGAGAAGCATTATTTATGGGAAACAGCATTTAAGTGACCATGATTTTTAAAAGTAATGATTCATTTACTCCTGAAGCAGGTGTAATCATGTCGTTTAATATCCTTGGCTCAGTTAGTAACTTAGAAGTCTGTTTTGAGTGAATGGTTCAGAGCTGTTGATGGTTGTGAATTTAAGTGGATTTGCTTATCTTATTTTGCAACTGCATATTAAACAAGGTGTGACTCGGATCAGAAGTTTCATCCTTGGGAGGAGGGTGGAAGGTCACAGTTGATTAAAAGCTAAGGTATTTCAACTAAGACTTCCTGATAATGCAAGCAACATCCTTGTGCTCACATGACAAGGGAAATCCTAGGAGAAACCTTTCCCTTTTCTTCCTCCTCCATTCCTCCTGTACAGTGGCAAGGCACAGTTCTGATCTTCTCAGCACTTGAGCTGGTTGTCCGAGGCAAGAGTGCAGCATGGTTGCTCTATTCCCCATGGACAGGAACAGATAGGTCCCTCTGAGGGAGAAGTCTTGCCAAAGTCTTCCCGTACTAAATGTAGCTCCACAGATGGACTGATGCTCAGTTATGGCCTTGACCTGCAGTTGAGTTCTAGTTGTTTCCTGTAATAGTGTAATGTCAGGTTAGAAACTTCATAACATATGTCTGTACTGTTTTGTGCTTTTGATGATTAGTAGGCCTAACTGATTCAGACATCAGAGCAATCTCTTCCATCTCTTGAACCCAAGTGCTGCATGGTGCTTTTAAGTAGATTATAAAAGTTGTTAGCCCACGCTGAATAACCTGTAGCACAAAAACAATCACCATCTTTTCCAGCACTCAAAAAGCAAGTTGCAGTGTCATGCCCCAATAATTTAGTTTAGTAGTATTGTTTGGGTTTAATTGAAATGCTACTGCTGTAGACAAAAGTGACGCCATGTATCTTTGTCACTTTCCATAATGCAGTCGTGCTTTACCTCACTTATGATCTGATTAGATTTTCACTTTCTTGTGACAGCAAAAAAGTGACAGACATTTCGGCAGTGCAGACTGCTCTGAAAGGAAATTTCTCCATCAAAAAAACTGATCCAGCAAGATACACTTTTTATGTTGTCAGAAAATGTCAGAATGGGATTTTGTTAAGTTCAGATCAAATCTTAATAGCAAAATAGCTCATATAATGAGTTTGCATAGTACATTTGAAATGGAAAAGATCCATTCTAATATCCTGCATAATAAGGGTCACAATAGCATTAAGCAATTCCCAGGTTAAGCCTGAGTGCTTTCTCTTCATATTTCAGTCTTAGTACCTTCCTCCCTATTTTTCTTTTGTAGTGCTGAAAGACAAAGGCTACACAACTCTGCAGGATGAAGCCATCAAGATATTTAATTCTTTGCAGCAGCTGGAGTCTATGTCTGATCCCATCCCTATAATCCAAGGTATCCTCCAAACAGGACATGACTTACGACCTCTTCGAGATGAGCTCTACTGTCAGCTTATCAAGCAGACCAATAAAGTGCCTAATCCTGGGAGCGTGGGCAACCTGTATAGTTGGCAAATACTCACCTGCATGAGTTGCACATTTCTGCCGAGTCGAAGCATCCTCAAATATCTCAAGTTCCATCTCAAAAGGTGAGAAGCTTTGAACTACTAGAGCAAGAAGTTTCTTCACTCACTGTTTTCTTCCCCACAGCTTGTAACAGTGTTTAAACATCTTGAAGTGAGATTTGAAGATACATTCACTTAGTGAACTGGTTATGCCAAACAATGAATCTAAAAAAAATGCAAGAAAAGTATTTGATTTAGGTGGAATTATTCTCATTTGAAGAATCAGGCAAAATCCCACTAAACTGAATGTATATTTTGTTAACATTGGCCAAAGGGGGGGGTCTTTCTCTAATTGTATACAGTTGCTTAAGTGACTGGCAGCCACTACCCCAGGTCCCATTCTCAGTTGTCCAACCTGTTAAAAATTCTTCATCCTGCTTTCTTTACTTTTGTGAGGTACGCATCATGCACATAAAAGAACATAAGAACGTTTAAAGATGTATTTGAGGTAGAAATGTCTCTTTGCAAATTTAGTTTTCAGACATTAGTGACCATTAAAAAAGAAAAATACTTTTTGATAGTTCAGCACTAAGCAGAATGTGGAGTTCCTCTTGCTGTGATGCCGCAGAAGAATGCAAAGAGTGTGTCATTAGGAAAGTTAGGTCACTAACAGCAAACGGTTCTCAATAATTTAAAAGTCATGTCTGTGTTTGTGCAAGAGCATGGACTTTGTAAATCATTTTACTAAAGGTAATTATTTTATAAATATTTGTAAAATGCTTCTACTGAAGGTATACCTTTCAACCAAAATGAAAAACATCAATCACTTTATTTAACTGATAAAATGAAAAAAATCCAACATTGATTCACTTTCTCAGTTTAACTCAGTTCATAAACTGGTCTCCCAGTTGAAGAAATTGCAGCTAATACAACATTTGTAGGTTGGTTTCAATATTACAGATGAATAGTCATGTTCCAGCGTTGCTGTAATCCAGCAGTAATCTTTTTATGCCATGTAGATCACAAATCACTGTACTTCTTCACATAAATTAAACCTTAGCAGCTCTCAGAAGCTGGTATTTTATCACTGAAAATATTATAGAAATACTCTGTACTGAAAGCTACCTGAATTCAACAGTTTTAAATAATTAAGAGTTGAGTTCATTAAAGCTGTTAGTGAATATTCATAATACTAACTGCTGACATTAAGGTCAAGAGAGAATCTTTAAGAAAATCAGGATTTAGAAATCAAGTACACTAAGTGACACTACCACAAAAATTACCAGTCAAAAATATGTTTTATTGCTTTTTTCTGAAGTACCTTAGTGCAGTTTTGTCTTCGTTCAACAACTGTTATTGACAAAAAGGGGAGTCAATTACAAGGATATTTTTATAGGTATCTTGCTGTCAAATCTGAGACACTACAAGGTTCTGGTAGTTAATGCTATAAAGGTGGTTCAGTTCTTGCTTTCCATTAGGTTTGTAGAATAAAATGATGAACATATATAAGTTGTCCCACAGTAAATCACAAGTTAGTACACTTTCCTTGACAGTGAAGATAAACATTTGAGTGTGTCAATTAAATAGCTTACTGGATACATAAGTACATATAAGAAAAAAATCCATTCTCAAATAAGTAAACTTTCTATTTCACAGACTAGTAGCCTAAAGTTAATAATATTTGTTTCACAGGGTTCGTGATCAATTTCCAGGAACTGAAATGGAGAAATACGCACTTTTTACTTACGAATCTCTGAAGAAAACCAAATGCAGAGAGTTTGTGCCATCCCGGGATGAAATAGAAGCTCTGATCAGCAGGCAGGAAATGACATCCACAGTTTATTGCCATGGGGGGGGCTCCTGTAAGATTACAATCAACTCACACACCACAGCTGGAGAGGTGAGAAGTGGTGACAGAACAGCTTTGGCTGTGTCCCTTTATGTGCCAGTTCCAGCCAGTGGTAGCGTCAAACTTTGGGAGTGCTGGGGGTTTCTCTGTTGGTCTCTCCTTTCAGGGGAGGGAAGGTTTACAGAGCTGTCCCTCCAACCCCACAGCGCATTCTGAAGAAATCCCTGCTATAAAAAACTTGTCTTTATTCTTTACTGTAAGGGTGGTCAGACACTGGAACAGGTTGCCCAAGGAAGTTGTTGATGCCCCCTCCCTGGAAGTGTTTAAGACCAGGCTGGATGAGGCTTTGAGCAACCTGATCTAGTGGAGGGTGTCCCTGCTGAAG